TGTGTGTGTGGGTGTGGGTGTGTGAGCCGGCATGGTGTGCTGTGTAATGCATGTGGAGTTGAGCGCACACTCCCAGAGGAGATGTGCATTTGTGCAATGGGGAGGAGATGTGCGTCGTACATGAGCCCTCACACCAGATTGTACTCTTTGAGATTGAGCTGTAGGATGGTGTCTTTGACAGCTGCAAACACAAAGCGGATGTTCTCAGTGTCCGTGGCACAAGTGAAGTGGGAGTAGATGATCTTGTCGCTGTCTGGGTTTAAGTCCACAAACATCTTGAGGATGAACTCCCGCGCTGCCTGTGCATCTCTCTGGGGACCTGAGATATAAAAGAAACAAAACAAAAACAAGCACACGCAAACGTTGATTTATTTTCACCATATAAAGTGTTATTTAAAAAGGGGTTGAACAACAACAACAGATGCTTTGTTGTTTCTTTTTGAGAGTCAAATGAGACGACTGATATGCTGTGCATTCGGGATGGAGCTTTAGAAGGGAGGCTTAGACAGAGGCAGACCTAGAGTAATATTCATAACAGGGTGGCATGGAGACTTTAAAAGGTGGCAGAAGTGATTGCTGCTTTAATTGCAAACAATCACATATATGGAGACTTGCTTTAAAAAGCCCCCAAATAAAGATATTTGAGCTTAAAACATTACATTAGGTTTAGTAAAACACTGAATAGAAACATCTAAAGCTTGCCTTAGAAATCAATAAATTGTATTGTAAATCTTTTACCCTCTACATCCGCTTAGCTTAACATAAAGACTGGAAATGGGTGAACTGGATCAATTTCCGACTGTTTTAACACTGAATAATACATTCACAGAAGCTGTATTAATTTATCGGAGGGTGTCTTCCACATTCTTCCACAGGGCCACATTAGTCAGCGCACGTGTAGATAATCTCACCATCAAACTCAGGGAAATAGTCCACCAAGTGTGAGTAGGAGATCTTCTCCTCTAGCAGGTCCTTCTTGTTGAGGAAGAGGATGACGGAGGAGTTTTGAAACCAGGGGTAGGTAATGATGGTCCGGAATAGAGCTTTACTCTCCTCCATACGATTCTGGTGCAAAAAGAAAAGGATAGAAGTGTGAGAAGAGTCAATTCTTGATGCATCTCACTACACATAAAGGGAACAACTGCAATATAGCTTTTGTGGGGGGGGGGGGTGAAGATACACGTGTTCAAGCAACATAGTATGCATGCATTTCTTTTTAATGAATGACTTACCTCGTTGTCCGACTCCACCAGGACCTGGTCGTACTCACTCAGCGCCACGAGAAACATAATGGAGGTGACATTCTCAAAGCAGTGAATCCACTTCCTCCTCTCGGACCTCTGACCCCCTACATCCACCATCCTGATGGCAGGATGAAGGTGAAAATTGGGGCGGGGGGGATAACAAGTAAAGAAGCAAGGAGGGGAAAAACATATTAGCACACATCTCATGGTGGCCTAGTTCGTGTTTAGTGATTTAGTGACTAACAGTGCTCAGCGTTTAACAGGGCAGAAGTTCAAATTCTCAATATCCTGGAATAGCTCTAAGGACAGTGTTGTTTCTTTTTTTAAAAAGGAGGTTTTGAATCCATCAAGATATATTTACTGGTGGCACCAAGTGATGGACCGAGTTTATTCCATTGCATTACAAATATACTGAAATATGGCCTGCTTTGTGCAAGAAATGCGTATATAGCAGAAGAACGCTGTAATAGAGGAAAGACAGATTTGTCCTAAAGACATCTCTCTGCTGTACTTCTTCCTTTTTCAGCACACGGCCCAAATAAAGATATAGTCTCTCATCCTGGGACCCATGACAGCATATTTTTACTATCATTTTGGGTCCTAAAAAAAGATAAAATATTCTGGAATACTTTTAACTTGATTTTAAGTTAAACTTGTTTGAGATAAACTATTAACACCTGATGGATTCAACACCTAAAGAAGAGGATTAATCAAATTCACAACTTCTTGGCCATGAGTTTTAAGGGTCTCGGGGAAAAACAGAAACTAAAAACTAAATGTGCAGTGTGAATATGCTTTTGTCCTTTGTAAGTGAGTGAGTCATGCATGCCACCACAAAGATGAAAGCTTCCCGTTTAAGACAGATCTAGAATCAGTTTTTAAACAAATGCCGCCACCACCATTAATACCAGTTTGATTAGCATGCCTTCTCTCCTGCCCCCTACACCAGAGCACTATGTAGGTATAAAACAATACACATACAACAAGAATTACAGGCGTGGCTCAACTTTGGGTTGATAGAAGTTGTGGCAAAATCAAAAAGATAGATTTTTGCAGGAAATGTGTCACTGGAATTCTTTAATTGGGAGTGGCATTCATCTGGTCATACAAGGAGTCAACATTACATCTGATGATAGATCAGTCTGTACTTCTATGTGATACGGGTAATAACGTATTCATTTCTCTACTGAAAGGCTTTCGCAACCTTCCCTAGTGGGTGTGTGTGATAAAGCACAACTGAAAAACAACTGAAGTTTGGAAACGCACTTGGACAAGACAAATGGGGAGTAATATGAAATGAATAACACCAGATAGAGGACAGACAGAGGACAGGAGGCAGAGATGAAATGTTGATGAAAGATACAGGGGGCACCTGTGATGGTTTGATCCTTTTCAGGGTAGAAGGACTCCTCCTATGTAACCTAATGAGAAGCTACAAGCTGAGAAATTGCATCTCAATACGTATGTTATATATTCCTAAGAGATTAACAAACACAACTAAGTAAGCAACAATTGGTATGAAAACTTTGATTTCAGCGCACGGGCCTACAGGCAGAGGGGCTGGCATTCACTGAAGCCATTCATAAACAGCAATCCTGGCTTTAATACTGAGTGATACGTGTGGATCCTCAAAAGCTTTCTTCTTTCCTGAGATTCTCCTTGACAAGGTCACCCTTCACTCGTCAGGGAGTTTAGGTCCCAGTTTCATTAAGCCTTCATTTGTGACAACTGATTCTGTAAAATCTTTCCTGTCAGGAACCTTTGATGTCAAGCCATTATATAATTGGCATCAGTACAATTTAATTCCTGACTTTTTGTACTTTGGTGCACCTCTGGATGCACAGGTGCACGCCTCCAGACCAGGTGCAACATGGTCTCTGAGAAAGCTGCACAAATGTAGTGTAATTCTCAATGCAAGGCTGCCCCCTGGTGGTGGCCCAGTCCACCGTGGTCCATAGAGACCCAGGGCCAATATAGGCCCTGCAGGACCTGCTGCCCAAAATAACATTCCTCCACCGCGGAGAGGACGACCTCGTTTCTTCTGCCAGCCGAAGAGGAAAGGAGGAGAGGAGGAGGAAGAGAGGAGGTGACCCATTTACAGAGACCGGGCACCAGAATGTAGGACTTTGTGTTCATTAGGGGGTTGTGTTATGTGTGGTACGATTGCTGCTGGTGGCAGGAGGTAAAAGAAAGTGTAGGACTATGAGGAGAATATAAAACGGTAACGAGTGCTATGATTTCTATGATTGGTCAAGTGTCAAATGCAGAAATTAAGTCACATGGTTAAAAAAAAAAAAAAACATGGTTTATTTGGGGCTTTGGACAAAAACAAAGCAGATGGCGAATGGGTTAATGCCACAACATAACAAGAAGGGACTGAGCCAAAACAGGCATCTTTCTACCTGAAAATGATGCTTTGCAAGTCGAATGGATACTCTATGATTCCTGTAGTGGGGATGCGCACCCTGAGCACATCCTGCTGAGTGGGAAGATAGTTGGGATCTGCAATACGATCCAGATCGGTAAGATAACTACAGGCCGGCCGGTCGGGGAAAAAAGAGAGAGATAGAGAAAAAAAAGACAGGAAAACAGTTATATAAAGCGTGACAGGCATTTACCGCAACCCCCCTGCCATTCCAGGAAGTGTGGATCAGTCCTGTTGAGGAAGCTTCACAGAAAAAGGCCACATCTCAGAAACAAAAGGGTGTTAGTCAGTGTCACTGCTCCACCAACACTCTCCATCCATAAACCATATGAGACATTTGATATTAGCTTGCAACTGTGGCTTTGAGTTGACTTGACTCTCTTTTTAACCGACAACAATTTGCAGTGAGGTCAAGTAGACTGTGGATAATGTTGCAGACAGTGAGGTGGTATCAGTGACAATAGTAGCAGTGACTTAGCAGCAGAGACAGCAGCACCTGGATTAGATAAAGAAGGTTCGGACAACTAGGAAACATTTTTTCTTACAGTTTTGCCAATGGTATGCAAATGAGCCTTTTCACTTTGCAATTCAATTAAAAAAAGGTTTCAGTTCTTCTGCGTTTAAACTGTGCCCAATTGCCTGACAAATTGTATAACAACTTCCTGGAGACTCTTTGACATCACTGTCTAATCCTTCTTCATCTGGCATTTGCTGGCTGCTCCCCACATTCAGTGCAGCATGTCTGGCCCTCGTTTTTATCCTGGAGCCAGAACCTCCGCACAACTGTGAACCCAAACCACTGATATCTAATCAGGTTAACCAATGTGGCCCTCAGGCTCATTTGATCTAAACACATCAAAATCTTTATTTCGCTCTGTAGGACAACTGGGTCTGTTCAGACGAATGGGCTCTTGCTAAGTAACATGTGTTTTCACTATAGTGATGTGAGGGCAACTGCAAGCTTGTAATATTGTCATAATTTCATTGACATTGACGGGCTACTAAGATGGTAACCCATGTGTACAAATCATCGGGTTAATGTTTCTATTTTCTGGCCATTTTTGATTGGCCAATTCACAAGAACCTCGCCCCAGCTTAAATGATGTGTTAATATTCTGACAGTCATCAGTGGTTTCTGTCCTCTAGCTACGGTGATGCTGTAGTCCCGGTGCCACAGGGGTACCTGAAGATGACGTTCTCCAGGTCAAACGGGTACTCTATTATACCCGTGGTGGGAACACGGACCCTCAGCACATCCTGCTGGGTGGGAACGTATCCCTCCGCAGTCACACGGTCTATATCGCTAAGGTAACTGGAGATATACATCACAACAGTGTCGAACAGACATATTCAGTGACTTTCTTATACATTTCTCACTAACTCATACAAACACAAATAGCTTACACATTTACCATAACATACATGTGCAAACAGACCTGCATATACTGATTTGAAGCAGTTTTAAACTGTAGTACAGCAAGTCCACAACCAGGGGGCACTAGAAAGTGAGTCAAGTGCCATTGGCCATTTAGCCTGGGGTCACATATTATTACAATGTAAAAACACACACAACCACAGAACAGGACAGGGCACATTTAGCTACAAACATCAAGGTGCAAACGCAACATTAATCTGTGGTTAGGTGCATCTCTAACATTCAGACATTAAACACCAAGCTCATGTAAAGCTAAAATGTGTAAAGAACCCCAACTAACAATTGTCTAACAATTATTATATACAATAAATAAATGTCCATGGTGGACAATAAACAATCAAAAGTTAAATAGTGACCCTTGTACCTGGGGCTTGTAGATTTCTTATGGGATTGTTAAATTATGAAATAGGCTGATGAACTGATGAATATTGCATGTGAACAAAAGGCTAATGTGCTGCCCTGCCCTGCAAACATTACTAACCCCACAAGGCAATTACAAACAGAACAGACACGCACATAACCTGCCACCAACCACACATCCAAACACACCCTAATTACTCTGGAAACCACTCTGATCTCTGGAGACAACTCTGTCTTCCTGCCACACAAGAAGTTAAAGATCCCAATGAAATCAGTAAAATCTGAAACGTCTACAAAAGCGATCCAATCAAGAGAACAGCACTGGAGTGTTAAGAATCATTAGTTATATTAACACTGATATATCTCCATCCGTTCCCAAACAACCATCTCAGACCTACACTCACACATTGTGTCACAGACAGCCGCACAAATACCATTCTTAAATCCTAGACACATCATACGTGATGTCTACACGTAGAGACACAAACACACACAGAGACGTGCAGACGTACTATTTAGTGGAGTCAGAGAGCTGGTACTCTCTGCGGCGGTCGTAGGCCTCCTGGATCCCCGGGTCGGACCACAGGCATTTGATAGCGGTGATGTAAGGTTGGTCGAACCCATTGATCTTCTCGATGTCCACCTCCTTCACAAGCATGGCGTTAGACTGCAAAGACACAGGCAGGAGGGGGAGAACGAGTGAAATAAAGAGCAGTGAGAGACAGCGATGGGCCAAACAGAAATAGACAAGATTTACAGAGTCACTTCTTTTCTTCAAATATTCAGCCAAAGATATTTGAGTTATCGGTAACTTTCTTCGCTGTGTGTTTGGACCTGGTGGCTGATCCTAACCACCCACATATTCTACTTATTCCAAAGATAATGTTTCTGCTAGACAAACTAAATGCATCTTTCTCGTGCACCTGAAGATTTTTTCCCAGGAAAGACATAAAACACACAACTGGTCTAACTATGAAAAACAACATATGAAGAGGTTGTAGGTTGACGAATGAGCAACAAAAGAGATTTATTTACATGAAAATGACGAATTTGTGCCCATTTATCAAGCCTGTCTTTAGAAGAAATGATTCACAAATGTAAGATGTTCATACCATCCTCACCTACTAAAGGTTTGCATAGCTGTAACTTGATAACAGCTGCACGGGACATAAATTAAGACTATTTATCGACTTTAGAACGTAAAAGTCTTTCGAAAGGTAACAAATGATCTAATGCAATAACCAAAACCATAACTTATGTCCCACTACAGTCATTTTTTGATTTTGTGTGGGTTTTGAAGTGATACAAACAATTCAACATGTTTCTTTGACAGAATCAGACAGAATCTAAGCTCTTAAGTCTTAACATTGAGTTGTGACTATGCTGTTCATTCATATTGTAGACCAGTAATTCTAGATACTGGTCCTTACGAGGGAGTGTATGGTAGAGCTGCTCGATTATGGAAAAAAAAATCATAATCACGATTATGTGCGATGGCTTGCAGTCGTGGGTACTCTGCTGGCGTACTTAATATCGTCATGGTATGCAATAGGATTATTTTAAAGAAAGCCCAGGAACCACAAGCCATTGACAAACGCTTTCAGGATCTGGGATGGTTGGTCAGTTATTTGTAATAAATATGGCTTATACATACATTCAAATGGACAGAAAGTTAGCGGTGTGTGGGCAGTACGACTGCGTACATTATAGTTCTCTATGTCCAGTCGCTTCGAGCTGTTGACTGGTCTGTTTAGTTGTTGAACCTTTAAATTGAGGACTGGATTTATACCTTGGATGCAAGGTGGTTGTCGTCCATACTCAGTCGGACAGTAATTCACCATACACGGTAAGGCGGCTCAATTAATCGAAAATATTGATCGAATGATTGACGATTTTTGGCGGCGCAAACGATCTGAAAAACTAATAAGAAGTCGGGGGGAAAACTTGACGGATGCTTGTGGACTAGGAAGTGTTGCTTTGACAAAATGTCCGAATAACATGAGCATGTTTCTGAAGTTTAGGAAAAAGAATACATCGTTGAGATAATCGTTGATTTCGAATTTGACCCAATAACTAAATCGTG